GCTGAGCTATACACCTAGTTCACATGTTAAAGTATATCTCTGCACTGTTCGAGAATAACTGAGAATGCAGAAGCCCAAGCAGACGATATCTATGCAATCACTATGGGGAACGAAAGCAACACTTCCAGGGAAAGGAACTGCACTTGTAAAAGCCCAAGCAGACGATATCTATGCAATCACTATGGGGAAGGAAAGCAACACTTCCAGGGAAAGAAACTGCACTTGTAAAGATCTCTGGCATTATACTTTGCTATGTCTAAGCCGTAAGAAAGTACGGATAACCTTTTTTCTCAGTAAAAGGCCAAGGGCTGCAACATGGCATGCCTCCAGGAGAGGTCACGCTTCCTACTTCTAGCATCCAAAGCAAGGTGAAACATCCACATATTCAGAAGTGCAGGGGGACGACAGTCCGATTTTCTTCTTCATCCTCTACCTACTCCACAGCCAAGACACTGTAAAACCCCACTTTAAAACACTACGTACGCACGGAACTTTCACCAGTGCTAAGCAGGAACCTGAAGCTGCTACCACGGAAGTCGGGCTCCATTTTCAGCTTGAAGGGCAGCCTGGTTCCCTTCTCGAAGTGGAAACGGGACTTGCACAATGCCATCAAACGCATCATCTGAATGAAGGCGAGGAGCTTTCGTCACTGACTGCTGCACTCCCCCACATTTCCCCTGCTCAGACAAAGCTTACACCAGCCACTTATCTGTTCATGACGGTTCTCCTGTCCCCTTCCCTTGGCTGCTGCCAGAATTACTCAGAAATGCTGCTTTCAAGGGTAATGCCTCATGGGCTTGGAGCTTAATTACAGATTTGGTCAACTCTCACCTTCTGTCTGGGCCAAAGTCATCTGAAGGCAGATTAGCCTAGGTCCCTAAACCCTCCTCAAAACTGCAGCAGCTCAGACTGGCTTGTGGAGCCCCGTGTGTTTGCACAGAAGCACTAAGCCAAAAAGTGTTAAGAATAAGAAAGAAAAAAGATGTTGGAGCAGCCAAATTTGCCAAGCTGATGTAGGCAGGATGCTACAGATGGGGACTATGGGCAGCAGATTTCCACACCGGCACTGGGAAGGCATCACCCTGTGCAGAAGGGTGCACTGGAGCACTTTTTTTCAGAGAGGGGTCCTGTATACCAATGCTGCTAATGCTCCTCTCTGGGAAAACGTACCGCCAAAGAGCAAAGAGGCTGTTAACGTGACGGAGGTAGTAAAAACCTTGACCCGAACAGAAGCAGGACCACACCCTGCCTGCTCTTGGTGGATGGGAATTTTGACTTGGCAGAGCAATAGCTTCTCCAACAAAATCCTTCCTCTTGTCAGGTGAATCGTGGGGAATATTTGGCAGTAGGCAGCATCATAAAGTGGCTATAAATCATGGGAGACAATGTCCTGTAGGAAGAAGGAAGAATGTAGAGATAAAAATCCTTTTAAAAGTCACAATTAACAAAAATTGTGACTCACGTTGGAAAAATTCTCTCTATGAAAAACGTTATCTACAAACTGTCTCCCATTTCCTACGGAAGTATCAAAAAAGCAAACTATTTTAAGCCCTGACACATCTTGGAAAATAGGATGGGGGGGAGGTTGTGGAAAAATTCATCCGTTTTGACCTTCCACATCACAGAAGGTTGCAAACGCTGGCTCAGGACCTAGGATATACACCACAATCCTTTTACCCTCTCTACTCCCTGAAAGTCACTTTTTAACTAGATGCACATATTTGTGTCCAGAAAGTAGCCCTCTGCCACTGCAGGGGCTGATATTTAAAAGTCTAAATCAGCTAAGGTCAAGGATGGATACTCTGGTGCAGAAGTCTCTAATTGCCAATACCCAGGTGGCAAGATTTGTCTTTGCTTTGTCTTTTGAAGGCTAGTTCCTTGCCAGAAAGAGACTTTCTATATAGGCATGACACAGGGCAAGGGGCAGTTTTTTGTTGCTTCAAATCTATTTTTTTTCTTAAGTTCTATAAAAAACTCCCTCCGGTCCTTTGGAAGATCACTTGAGATGGAAAGGTCATCCATAAGGGGTAGCTGGCTATAAATGCAGATGCACAGTATACCTCTTAGTTATTTTGAGCGGCTTTTGCAAACATGCTCAGCATTGACCTAATAGCATCCCCATTTTACTCTGTAAGAGCCCATGCCTTTTTTTAGTGCTACAAAGCTCAAATGCTTGGGGGACCGGAGGGACCAGCAGTCTCTTAACATTCACCCTAAGACCCCATCAGTTTTACAAACAGGGCTTGGTTTGAAGTACAAAAGAGGGGGAACTGCTCTCGAGCAGTGGGTCTCCTTCCCAAGATGATGCAAAACTGGCTTCCTACCTTGGTTTGTAGGAAGAAAGGGGCTGATGCCACAACGACGACTGTGGCACCTTATTGCTCCTTGCAAGACAGAGCACAAAGATCTTTGTGACTGGCATTGTCCGACGCAGAGGGTAAAAAAAAAGACTGTAATGATGTTAGATTAATACATACTTCAATTAGGAACAATGATGCCAAGCGGCATCTAATTCAAGCATTGCTAGGAAAGCAAAATTTATAGCCTTGCTCTATCTGTAAAACGCACTGTGCTTTTGAGAACGCGTAATCCTAACAAAACAAAGATAACAACAACTCTGTGTTCTTTAATTCAATGCTTGTAGCTGGTTTAATAATAGATTTTCAATCCACTTCTCTTTTTTTGCTGAGACAACTACGGTCTGATTTAGTGAATCTCTCTGATTTGTAATCCTGATCATTATATTATTAATATGCCCTTGATGCAAAGAGTGGGATAACTTAAAAAAGTGATCAGCTATTTTGCTTTGTGGCATTTATGACCTTGGTCAAGAGGACACATTATTTACAGGAGGAGTTTTCCTGAGCATCTGCAAGTAAATCAGCTCTGAAACGCAGCTTAATTGTTTAGGGCAAAGTGCATTTAGTTTCAAATTCCCAGGAACCTCCAGCTTCAGACAGAAAGCGCGTTTCCACAGATGGACGCTGGCATGTGGAAATGCCACCGTGACTACCGTTCAGCTGACCTTTGGTTTAGGGCCAGCTGCCAACAGGAAATGCCAAGCTGTTATTTACATTCGTTCAAAAGAAGCGAGAAAACTGCAGAGATACTTGAAAGCAAAAAAAGGGAAAGAAGTGTGGAAACGTCTGCCTCCGGGGACCCAGCGGAAAATAAAAAGCCTGCAGAGTCCAGCAAGCTTCTGAATCATACGGCTGGGAAATTACTTTCCAAGCTGCCAAGAGCAGGAGCACATCCCCTTCTCACTGCATGACTGCTCTCAAGCTCCCGCTCACTTCAGCCCAGCATTTGGGAGGATAGGCGCAAAGAGATGCCATACAGCATCCTAGGGAGGAATATCCTAATTCTGAGGTGCCCAGGGACTCCAACTCCTGGGAGCCTGGGAGCAGCACAGAGCCAGCAACTAGGAGCCTGTTTGCAGGACCTGGCCAGGCTACGTCCTCACTGCTGCAGAGCAAGAGGGTTTTTCTCCTTAGCTTTGCTGCTGGGCCATACCTGCTCTCCTACATTAGCAGAAAAGACAGAGCCTGGGCTTTGCACAGCTTGCTTGGCGTGGAAAGCAGTGGTGATTCCAGCTGGAGCAACTCCTGGAGTTCAAAATGTCTGTTTTTCTACAAGCAAGTATGGGGAAGAATTAGCAAAGGAAATTTAACCCCCTGGAACCAGGCACTGGAACAACATAACCACTCCAAAGATACAGGAAAGCGTCTTCCAGAAACAGGTTAACAGCTTCAGAAAGGGATTACCCCACGACTTGGAACGTGTTTATCGTCCCCGCAGTGTCACAGCAGGAGAGTCACTCCACGAATTGTCTCGAAATCATATCCAAGGCAAAGCAGCATGACTGACACATTTCAGTGGCATTTCTGCTTCTTCCAAACAGAAGCCATTTTTTTGTTTTGCTTTGTTTAATTTCAAATTGGCTGTCAGTTTTTTGAGCTTCTGGGGTTTATTTTTCTGTTCTCATGGGTCATTCAACGCACTAGACGGGCTTTAAAATTCACAGGAACTCAAAGAGGCTGAGAAGCTCTGTGGTTTTGAAGCCAATTCCCTAACGATGGACCGAACTTCGGCGCTGGAGGCTTCTCCACCACCTCCAGCTGAAGGACTGGGTTCTTCCCAGTTTAGGGGAAGGGTTTAAAAGATAAAAACGGACCGAGAGCTCAGCTCCCTGTGCCTGCCCCTTCCCATATGTCCAGCATGGCACCATGGTGAAGCTCCTGGGAACCTGCAGCTGTCCATGGAGAGAGGTGTGAGTACAAGGTAGCAGGATTAAGGCAGCAGCAGAGACGGCGATAAAACTCTAGCCAAAGGAGACAAGGGCTTTTATAAACATGCCATGAGATAAAGAGCTAAGAGGAAGCACATCCTGGAAAGCCCATTAGGGCAAAGGACAAAAAGACATAACTAACAAGAATTGCTGGCAAATGGCTCAGGCTTTGCAACTGCTTGCTTGGACCAGCAAGCAAAAAGGAGATCTGCAAGGGCACGTCCTCCCCAAAGGGGTCCCGAGCGCTTGCTAGCAACTGTGGGAAGAGCAAGAGCTGCTCGTTGCCACACAGTTGCAATTCCTTATAGCCACAGAGGGATATACATCCCTCCACCTGAGATTCACCCCCGCAGACTCCTCCTTGCAGAGGTGCCAGGCTACATCTGTAGCTTCCCTATGGCCACGCATGCATCCTGCTGTTTGCATCGATACAAGCACGCATCCAGGCTGTGGGAGGCCAAGGTCCACATCCCCCAACTCTGTTGGAGGAGGGTTTGACTCAAAACCTCCAGCTTTTAAGAAGAGACTTGAACTTCTGCCTACAGTGTTCAGAGCCAAGTCCTTTTGGCTTTAGCTTTCCTGTAGCCCCTGGTGTGAATGGCCTGTAGCCATTCATCCCCCCACGCCACTGCATGCTTCTCGTGCAGACAGGAGCATTTACTTTCCCATTTTTAAGCCCAAGAAGTCACTCAAAGCAGACGACGGGAGCTCGAATGGCTGAGCTGGAAGAGACTGTCAGTCTCTGACCTTGAGTGGAGATGAGTCTAGCAGCACACTTACCTTTTAAGACAGGAAATAAACTGTGCCCTTCCATGGATGCCTTATGCCCGGGGACAGAGCTGCTCGGCCTGGCTGGATTTCACCACGCCGCGTTCGCAGACTGACACTCTACCTCCTCTGGGAAATAAGACCCTCAGCCAATACGTTCGGTATCAGTGCAGTTCTTCTGCAATTATCTTGCAAGTACTCTTAACACTTACAATATCCTGTAATTTACAGCCACCTTGCCAGACCCAAGCTTAAGACAGACCTGTATCATGAAAGCAACAGTGGGCTGGTGGGTACTTTAGAAGCATAAATGCTTACTTTGCCCTGAAAACAAATTCAGCCCTATCAACACATGCACCTCACATTGCTTTGCATGAAGGACGTTGCATCGTTTGATTACTGCCATTAAAAAAAAATGTACTAATACATGTATAGTACATGAAAAAAGTGCCTTGTGTGCTGGCTGCTACACGAATTCAGTGCCGCAGTACAAACTGATCCTGATAGAAGACAGATTTTCCCCCAATACCACAATCCCTTGTTCACCAACAAGTTCCATCAACTTCCATTAGAGTTGTCAAAGATGGTATAGCCCAGGCTTTCATCACTTGCCTATGTTTAAGCACATGAGAAGTCAATGGGATCGCTTGATGGTCTCCCTCCGTGGGCTGACCTCTGTGTAATTTACTAGTGCGTGGGGAACACATTAGTGTCCTACACATGAAAAATGAAATCCAGACCTGACCAAAACTTGAGGTATTTGGCCATTCGGCTGGGTTTCTTCTCTTTTTCTTTGCAAATGTTTTCCTGAAGTCAAGTTTTTTTCTGAGAGCAAAGCCCATTGTGAGCTCTGAGTGCAAACATATGGCTTCAGGATATTTTACCTGTAATAACATGTTCTGCTTATTTTTAAAGGAATGTGAAAACACTCCTGTGAGAATCAAGTCAAATAATCAGGGCCAGTCTATACAGAGATGAAAATCATTGGGAAGTGAACTACATCTGTGAATGAACCTTTTGCTTGTCCAAACAGATCAATCAACCCACCCTCGTGCTGTTTCACAGTGCTACCGCTCAACAGCTTTGTTCACGTGCTGCTTTCACCTAAATCGTGCTAATCAGCTGGTCAGATAAAAGTTATTACAAAAGTTGGAGAAGTATAAATATACAGCTGCTTCTCTTACCTTCCACTGAGAAGGAAACCGATAACAACAGCCAGCAGAATGACTCCCACTGTTACAGACACAACAATTATAGGAATCTGGCTCTGGTCGCTGGATGCAGCTACTGCTGAGATGAGAAACAGAAAATGGAGATTAAGGTTAAAATGATAGTCAGCACTCACATGAGTCTTTCTAGTGAGGCTGCCAGTGAGGTTTCAAGTCTTACCAGTTCGTTTGTTCTTTTATGGTTTGTGTTTTCCCCCTTTGCTGTCTGTTTCTAGTTTGGAAAGGGAATGGGTGGAAAGAAACCAAAAACACATGCAAAACCAAGCCAAAACCCCCAAAAAATCGCATCTCATCACTGAATTCAGAAACCAAAGTGATTCAGAACACAGCCTCTGAGTTTGCAAACTCAAGTTTGTCTTCCTGGGTTAGCTGCATTAGAAATCACACAGACTCCCATTTGCAGAGAGAGAACATTTATGGAATGTTATTGTTAAGAAATATGAGCAAGATCTCGGAGATAAACAGCATTACCTGCACTTCAAGAAGCTATAAACAATTAGAAACGAACTCCTTGTGGCAGCTATATCACATGGTCAGAAGGTGCCTTCTGTAAAACAGGAATTTGCTAAGACACATACACTGGTTGGTCTTTTTATCAGCCAAGGGAAGCAGAACTCTCCCAGCCCATGCCTTGTAAAGAGCCCTCCTGCCAAAAGGCAGGAGATGAGTCCCATGATAAAGATGCCAGCAGAAAGGCCAGGAAAGCTGTTTGAGAACTGGGTTTTGTCACAGGTTAAGTAAGAACAGGTGAGCAAGCTCCTGCAGCCTGTAAAATGGAAATGCTAACACCACTTACATCTTGTTTATCTGCTTTGCACTGCAGGGGAGGGAGCCCATCTCTCCCCCAGGGATTTCATGTGGGGTTCCCCAAGCAGAAACCAAAGCCGCCTCACCCTGCCCTCTCTGCTGCCAGCTTATTTAGCTGCATATATTCAACCACCCCAGGGTACAAATCTGGCTTCCTCCCCGCAAAACCAGCTCCCCAGTGTAGGCGCTGCTGCTGTGCAGGGAAAAACCTCATTATAGGCTCCTATCCTCGTGCCAGCCCCGGATGAAGCTTTATCCACCCCAGGTAATCGATTATGCACTGAAGAAGCCTTTAACTAAATGATTGAAGTAAAAAGGGGTCCTTAGCACAGGATTAACTTTATGGAGGCTATAAAATAACTGAATATAGTCCCATATTAATTGTTAAAAGAAAAGAAAGACGAAAAGGTATGGCATTAAACATTGATCTGCAATGGGTTTCAAGTAGTTCTTCGTACAGGAGCTCTCTGGTGCTCAACAGCGAGCGGTGCAGACCTGCTACAGCAATGTAAATGATTTCAGAAGGATTGGCTCCGATACATTAAATATTTAATGTTAACTGCTCCAAACCCGTGCCGTCATCCAGAGATTTTATTAGCCTCATGAATTTATGGAGGTTCCTTAAGATGATGTTTTATTGCTTTCTTGACAAAATAATTAAAAAGAAAAACATTTAAAGGAGAACATTAAGCTGTGACTGGTGGTTTTTTGCACAGCTCGAGGGATGGGGAAATGAGATAAATCCTGCTGTGATCTCTGGCAGCTAAAAAGCCTGACTTCATAAGCCAAGCTGGGACCTTGCTGCCATTTAAAGCTGGGCCGGGACCTGCATTACCCCTCCCTGATTTGGTGATATGTTCCCACTCCCACCTGGCTGACCAGCTGGATTAGCTCACCAATCCAGCCAAAAACCAGCTTTTGGCACGGTTAGTTTTATTAGGGCTAGATGAGCTCGGTGGCATTTGGAAAGGAGGACAGCAGCAAGTGGATACACTCAGCCAACAGCTTCCACCCAAATAAAAAACTTCCGCTGAAAAATGCAGCCCTGGCTGCACCGTGGCGCTTTGCAGAATTGCACACGCAGGCAGCAGTATGTAAAAAAAACCCCCAAATTTGGAAGAAGAGAAGAGTCCAAAACAAATTGCAGCTTCTCCCCTCATTGCACTTCTCAGGCTGTTGTTTCATATTTCCTCCAAATGTATTAAAAACAACTTTACAGAAACCTTGCAAACTGGAAACAAAACCTGTTGTTCGGTCCAAGTGATTTTGGAGGCTGTTTTTGATTCTCACAACAGTCACTGAAACGTTTTCATTTGTGCTTGAATCAAAATATTTTGCTTTGGCTCTAACAAGAGGTTCAGATCTGAACTCCGATGTAGCAGTGAGATTTTGATCTGTGCTTGCTTTCAGATTCTCCAGGACGTATAGGAAAGCAGCGGGTGTCTGGTCACACTCCCGGTACTAATACTGACTTTATATAGGGCCTTGGGAAAAAGAAGAAAATCGCTTTTTAAAAGGTTTTAGATGTCAAACGGAGCTGCGTTTTGCAAGATACTGAGGCTTAGTAGCATTTCAATTCTACCAAGCATTTAAGCATCTGGTTAAATCCTGCTTCAGCCAGAGCTCAAGTCCAACAGAGGAACAGTTCCCAGCTCCCAAACTGGGGACCATGCAGAATACCACAGGTATTTTTCCAACTATGCCGGCAGCTCCTCAGTATCAGAGTGAGCTCCTCCTCACTCTTCTCCCTTTAAAATGCTAAAAAGACTGGGGTGCTAGTGTGACTAAATGACTCAAGGGGTTTGAAGTGTTTAAAGATATTACCACGTGATGTCCTCAAAAAATCCCGATCAACACAGATACTTACATGATGGGCTTTATGGAAGTGCCATTATTTTTGGACCAGGATCATAGGTACCGATGGCACTGGATCAAATGTGCTTATATTTCATGTATCATTTATTAATAGTCTGAAACACTATTACTCAAGTGACTCTAAACTAGAAACTTCCCAACTGCAAGCAAAATTCCCTTAGTATAATATAAAATAATTTTTGGCATAACGTGATTTTGTTGTTACTTATAGGGCACGATTAATGGTTAATGCAATAAGAAATACATTAAATAGACCATTCTTATTGCATTAATGTTTGCATCGTGATGTAATTTGCACTGTATTAGTTCAATCACTGGCTCCACAGCTACATCTGCACATGTATAATGATTCCTTTAAAATCTATTACAGCTTCAAAGGCAGCATGCATTGAAAAGACAACCTGGCATCTTCTTCTCAAAGATGATGAATTTTAAATGAACCGGAGTAACAGTAATCAAACTATTGACAAATTTAAATTTCTAAGGAAAACATACAGAAAACTGGCTCTTTCCCACAGGAATGAACAGAGTATTTCCAGCACAAAATGTCTCTTCCATGCAAACAGTATAAAAAAATTAATAAATGACAGTTGTACAAACTGAAATAGATAGAACATATTTTCTGGGGAAGAAAATTATCTTTGATACCTCTGCAAAAATTTAGTAATTGGGACAAAAGGAATTTCCCCACAGCTGTGCCTGAACACAGGGAAAGCAGCTGAGCCTCTGCATGTCTTGGGAGTTCACCCTGCCACAGAATCTGCTCCAGAATCCAGACCTGGATGATCAGATTAATTTTAAATTTAAAAAAAAGAAAAAAGAAAAAAGAAAAAAAAAGAAAAAAGAAAAAAGGGGAAAAAGGAGAAAAAAGGGGAAAAAGGAGAAAAAAGGGGAAAAAGGAGAAAAAAGGGGAAAAAGGAGAAAAAAAAAAGGAGCAGAAAAAGGGAAAAAGGGAAAAAAGGGAAAAAAGGGAAAAGAGAAAAAAGGGAAAAGGGAAAAAAGGGAAAAGGGAAAAAAGGGAAAAGGAAAAAAAAAGAAAGAAAAAATTTCAAACCCCACAAATTTCTAACAGGCCAAGCAAAGTCTTGTGCCTGCAGTGCACATTTTTCCCATTTCTGATCACAAGTCAAATTCCTTTTCTCCAGGCTGTGGCATTGGCAGCCAACAGAAACCATCTTTCAACTTGACAGGAATTTACAGCAAAAGAAGCTAACATTGGTTCAATTCTTCCCCTTGCAGAGAGACACCATTTCAGGATTTTTTCCCCAGATGCAGATATTCAAGAGAGCTCAGCATCCTCTGCAGACAGCCGTTAAGAGGTGTGAAGGAGCAGGTCTCATCCCCTCTCTCCTCCTGAGAGGAGAGCCCCTTCTCCTCTCTTGCATCAGCTCTCATAAATACAGGATTTTTCTAAGCAGGGAACACTATGAATTTCTGGCGCCTGAAGACCTCCTGACTTCACCTCCTGCCCCACCATGTGAGACAAGGAAGCAAGGACAGATGTGTTAGCCTGTCTGGTGCACAACCATGATGTGCCTGATGTTTCCAAAGTCAAGGGATGAGGCCAGGATGAGGGGGAGCTCTCTGCAAAGGTATCGATCCCCTGACTCCTTTCTGGTACCCGTTCCAGAGATGCGGGCTGACAGTAATTAAAAGGACTTACACACTGGGCTGGTTTCAAACTCAAATCTTCGGCTGAAGCCACCATAGCCGGCAGCTGTCCGGGCTCGGATCTGGAAGATGTATGCCGAGCCTGGTTTCAAGCCATCTGCTGTAATTGTCGTCTCTTTGGATTTGATGATGGTGTAGCTCGTCTCCTGGTCCTTTTCCCAACCCCCCACAAAAAACACAAAGTTCAAACACACAAATAGTGGCTCTCAGAGAAGGTAAGACTTTTAACAACCCCCAGAGCAACGTTACAAAGGATGACTGAAATACACATTTTTGAAGATATCTTCCCCAAAACCCCTCCTCTGAAGGCCCTTTCAGCAGTACAAAATGAGATCTGATTTTCTCTTTTATAATCAATAACTCTGAAACAGAGCAGAGGGACTTTCCACCCATAAATGACAATACAGGGACCAAACCAGCATCTTCAGTAGGAGCAGCTTTTCATTGCTTGGGATGCACACGGGCCGGGGCAGTGGAAAGCTTCATCCTACAAAGATCAATCCTAAGGCACGGGGAAGAGGAAAAAAGTCCCATCGCCTTAGAAAGGGATTTTGATTTATACCAAAACAACTTCCCAGTAATGTAATTAGGCCTAAAAGAGAATAATGTATTACACATTGTACAACTTCATGCCAACATTTTTAGAACCACGAATTAGACCTTGGGAAGGGAATAATAAACCAAAACTCCAGGAAAACACCTAATTTTGCATTGTTCTTCTGAAGCAACGAACTTGAAGAAAATTTGCTGAAATAAATCTTCATTTACATCAGTTTCTAATGCGAAAGAGTTTCAGTTCTTTGATTAAAATTTCGCTCAAATGCTTGCTAATTACGCTTAGAATTATTTACTGTAACACATAATCTAGACAAGAGCTCATAAATTAAGGACTACAAACTTGGAAGCTGATTTTTATTCACCATATCCTCTCAGATCCAAATTATTATCAGGTAAACAGGAGTTCTTAGTAATTCCCTACCAAGATTTCTGCATAGCTCTTAGGATCTGAACTGGTTTTTCTTTTTTCTTTTTAATTTAATGGGCAACTTTCCATAGACAGTATAAGGATAAGGCCCCTGTGAATCTCCAAACATAGGATTACAAATTTTCTCATTGAAGCCTGTAGCTACACAAGACTGTTTTGGAGAAATATGTGTGTGTGTGTGTATATTGTTAAGAAGCAATTTCTCTTAACAGAATGCGATCTGACAAAACTCAATTTTCTGAAACATTTAATATAGATCATTCTCATGCCTTGGAAATGAACGCTGTGAATTTACCCTTACAAAGGGCTGAAAACGGAGAGAATATAAGTGACAGCAGCGACATACAAGAAGGATTAAGGACGACATCCCAAATCTAACTCAATGACTGGTTAAAAAGCAGTAAGTGAATATTAGGTCACACCTTTGCTTGTATGTCAGCCCAATTAGGTTTTCAATACATTGTTGGCTTCTGCAAACATTTAAACACTTGAGCTTTCCTACAGAAAACACTAAGCTTCACTATCAGCCTGAAAGAAATAAATCAAGACAGCATAAACTCGGACTGGCTGTTGCTACCTCCCTGTGAAGGACTTGCACTTGAAGAACTATTTACTGAAGCTATTTAAGACTAGTTCTGGACCACAAATACAACATTTTAAGTCAGTTCCCCCTCCGCCCCCCCCAGTTTGTTTGAAAACAAACTAAGTAAAATGAACAAATATATGGATTTTTTTTCTTTAATTATTTGCTCATTATCAAGGTTTCTAGAAGCTAATCTTCCCAGGCTACTCTACAATAAGGATTCAATGTGCCACAACAGTCATTCAAACAAGTTAATAAAAGAATCAGTAATGGATTATTTCCAGCAATAGCATATCCTGACTCTTGCTTTGTGCTTTAATCTTTTTGAAAACCTCAGCCCTGTTTAAGCCACTCATGCATCTTGTGCCCTTGCTCAAGCTCCCTCATCTGCAAAAATAACGTTGATTTTATCCTGATGCAGAAGATTTCTGAAATTCTTTCCCCTGTTTGCATGGGCTACTTGAGCAGGTCCCTCCCATGGTCAGAGAAAGAAGACAGGAGGAGTAAGGACCCAGCTCTGGTCCATGTTGAGTGGTTTAACCCGGGTCATAGACAAAACTAATGGAAGATCTTCCTTAAAATAGAAATTCAAGCCTCCAAAAAAGTGAATTGTGACTCCATTTCATTATTTTCCTCTCCTTTTCTTGTGGACAGCCTGGCTGTTTCAGAAGAAAAAAGAACATCTTACAATCCCAGATAAGGCAAGAAACTGCTATTCAGTCACCTCTTGCAAACCTGATTTTTGGAAATCTAAGATTTCCAAAGATCTAAGGCTGCAGTGCTAAAAAGATGCTATTTAGACAAAGCGCATTTGTTACTGTTTTCATCTAAACTGCATTAATTTTGCAGGAAGAGAACAAATTGCCATTTGAAATGAAGACTAGGAGAGGCAAGTTTTGTAGGAAGAGAGAGTGTTTTCCATTAGACTGAGAGCAAGAGCTGGAAAACCCAGGCAAGCTTTTAAGCCAGGATGCCCTTCTTCATGTCAGAGCAGATACAATCTCTCCGCAAAACCTTTCTCTTCTCCTTACACCGTGGATGCAAAACCAAGTGAGAAATTGAAATACCAAAGGCAAGGGATAGCCTGATGTTTCCAGGGGGAGATAGAAGTCCGATCCCCAACGCCTCCTATTTTTAACAAATGAGCAGGCTCTGTCTTAATGTGATAAGGCCGGAGAGGAATCTGACATGCAGATTTAATGTATTTGTTCAAGAGAAGTGGCACACTAATGAAAAACAACACCCTTATTTCAAGTCTTCCTAATCATTTACTGCAAAATCAATCTGACATTGATTTATGCATAAAATCGCTCCATTCCCTTCCATGACTCAAATAATTATAACTAAAAGAAGAGGACAGTAAAGAGAAGGTACTTGGGATGCTCAGCAATCAGTCCGTCACACCTTTTCAAAATATTTGATTTCGTATTCCAGGATGATGCCGTTGGGTCGATCTGGCTCCTGCCAGGAAAGGGAGATGCTATTTTTAGTTATCTTCCCTTTTTTCACACTACTGACTGGAGAAGGTGCTGCAAAACAGGAGAAAAACAGAACAGACAAAAACTCTGGTTAGTAAGACCGTCTGCCCCTGACAAAGTCAAACTTGTCAGCGCATCCTCAAATGCAAGGCGATCCTTAGCTACTGCAGATCAGCGGGGTCTGTTTTCACCTCGGTGGTATTTGCCCATTTTTAACAACTGGACTTGCACAGATTTCCTGCAGCTGAGGACCCGACCAGCATCACCCACCTGAGCAAAGTAACAACATGAACTACCATCAGCAGCTTACACATCAACCTTGTCTTTTCAAGCACTTTTCAAACACATCAGCCCCACACCTTGCTTTTTCAAACGTGTCAGGGGGCTGCGTTTTCAGAATTACATATTGATTACATATTCCCTTCTTTCAGCCGCTTTGAAGGTATGTATTTCTCAGAAGACCTTAGGTTACATGGGCTCCTTAACTATCTATTTTTTGGCTTGTGTAGTAGTTAAAGCCTAGGCATCTTTCAGCCCCCTCCTTCCAGAGGCAAGGAACAGGGTAGCAAGGCCATTACAACCTTTACAATTCAATTGCTCTCCATAAATATCGCTGGGGTGTTACAGCTCGCATAGTGATGCTAATTCCTTGCAAACGGCAATTGTAAAGATTTTAATGGCCATCACAGTTCGGAAGTTTGCGGCATGCTTGGGGAAGCCGCAGCATGAAAGCAGCTATATCAGTTCTGCTTATTATTTTAAGATGCAGCCCTGAAAGGTTATCTGCCCTTTGCAGCACACACGTGCATCAGAAACAGGCTTGATCCTTTGTTTTCAGCCCAGTATCTGCAGAGGCTTTTCAAGTTGTGGTTGTTACCACCCCTGCCAACTCCCTAGCAAAAGTTGCTATGGGCAATGCAACCCTAACACCCCAGGTATTTCATGCCAGAGATTAGGAAACCACACTGAGTGAAAAGAAAAGGGGACAGGAGAAATTCATAGTCTCTAATTTGCAGGGCCAAGAGCAGCTTCTCCAGAGGAAAAACCAGCCCACGCCTGGCCGAGGGCCTTCGACTCACCTTCCGGACAGGCCAGCTCTCGGCAAGGATTACAGGGGGGCTGGGGAGACCCATGGCAAAAACCTTTGTGGCCATATGGGGAACTGAGTGCAAAGAGCAGTAGCAAATGACCACATTTTATCTTCCAAAATGTATTTGGAACTACTTAAAAAAAAAAAAACAAACAAACAACTTGTCCTATATGCAGGACTAGTTAATTATCATAATACTAAAAAACCCCAAACCATTTAGTAAAATAAAGACAAACAAATTAATTTTGCCAGGTCTGATCTTCAGCCAAAAACAGTAAGGGAAGAGCTCCAGACAATTATCCCTGGACTAAAGGCTAGCAGCGAGCCTTCTCCTTTAAAGCAAGCTCCCGCATCTCAGTCTCTCTTCAGCCCCAGTTTTTCTCACTCCTGTTTACTAATCTCTCCCCCATTTGGCTCTTGGAGGGTCCTGAAAGGTGTTGGCCATTTCTGTATTGTTTTCTGTTGGAGAGCTGGCATCAAGCTGCACAGACAACGCTTGCTTTTTAGCTGTGCATTCACCACCGTGCTCACAACTGCTCCACTGAGCAAGCAAAAACCTTGATTTGAATGATGATCATGTTACTTATGTAGGCACCACATGGTGATCACCAACAGATTTTCATCTGCAAAAGTCACCTTACCCTCAGCTGATGTCCTCCACAATTTTTTGGGCTATGTGAAGGCAAATAGCAACCTAGACTCAAACTGCTAATCCTCCTGGCATAGGACTTTCCATTAATTAATCCAGGTGCCTAAATATGTGATGTGCATGCATGTGCACAGCAAGTTGAGTTGTGCATGTGAGATATACGGTCCGTGCACATGCACGTGGTCAGATGTGTTAGCCCAGAGAAGACACAGTGAGTAGTGAACTCTGTTAAAATAGGACGAACTTCCCTTCTAATGCAAAGGGAGCTACATGGTTTTCAGAGGCATTGGAAAACAAGTCTCACTGTGGGGTAGTGGTGCCAAATAACAGGTGATTCTACAACCCTAGTTAAACAGATGATACTGATCATTTCCTATTAGGAGCCACTCAGATGCTATGTATAGGGGATGGAGACACCGAAGTACTCAGAAAAAGGGACCCGTGTCCCTCTGGACTGTTCTCTAATGCCCCCAAATCCCTGCAACGCCATCCCAGGCTTGCAGGGCTGGCAGCAGAGGTCTGGCAGGATGGAGAAAGTCAGAGCTGAGCATTAAACCTTCTTAAACTCCTATAAGCAAAAGCAAACTGGAGAAGTGCAGCGAGGGGAGTCCACAGCCCTCCCTGGTATTGAACACCTCTCAGGAAGGTGAAACCCATGCAGTTCTCAGTGTCAAGACTGCCTGACCAAATAATGGACTTTTCATCCACTTTATTGAGGTTTCCTGAGCTGTTTATAGGACCGAGGCTCACAAGTGCTTTAAAAACAAGACAACAATGGGAGTGCTCATGAACTCTGCTGCAAAATCCTTCCCTCGGAGTTTAGCTCTCCTTCACATACATCAGCACAGTACAACACAAAATGCACCACCAGCCATCCAAAAGTGCCCATCAAATTCCCTACTCCCCTAAAACAGAGCATCCTCTTTAAAAAGCAGTGTGTAAAAAGCTTTGCTAGTTAACACCTTCATGGACTTAAATCTCTCGCCGTTCAAGTCTCTTAACACGTTCAATTGGGGCTCTGCAGAATGCTCTGCTCTACCAGGAAAAGGAGGGAAGATAAGAAAATGAGTAATGCAACTCTCAAAGTAAATTAGAAAAGGAGTAACTGTATCCTTTTTGAACCTCCTTCAAAAGAAGTGTTAAAGTGTAACCATGAGATAAAGGCCAATTAAGTACACTCAATAAATCCCAGCGGGCTGGGATGATACGGCAGTTACTCTGCATCCTCAACGCATGTAGATTACGATGCTCTGAACTGAAGGAAGGAAGGTGTAAGTATTTTAGAGTTTTCTTTGTCGAACAAAATGTAATCCAATCCAGGCAAGCGGACAAAGTCTGCAATCATTCCATCTTAAAAGCCTGCAACTGGATACTGTGCTATATGATCTCAGGAAAATAAAAGGATTACTTGAGACTTGCTTTTCAAAGGTCACTGCTTCTGCAAGGGCAGCATCCTCTTAATAGAAAGAAGGCAAGCCACGGAGCACTTCCATTTGGAGTACAACAGGTAAAAAAATAAATTCATGTAAGAGTCAAGATATATAAAGCTGTAATCTCCCCAGTTTCTTATGTAAGCAGGCAGAAGTCTTGTTCAAATCCCTGCCTTGACACTACAAAGGGTAGATGTACGTCGTGAATTGTTCACATGTTGCTTTACAAGTAATCTGCACATAGGCACTAATTTCTCAGCAAGACACTCAAAATCGAAGAGGGATATTACATCATTTATGTTTATGTTCACCATTCATGAAAACAGCCATGCGTGTGGTGAAAGCAAACAGAAGATGTAACAAGGTGTGAAATTGCTAATGTACATTTTTGCTTTCATGAGACCAAAATTAATCAGGAAGCAAATAAAAGCATAGAAAACTGATTCTGCCTTTTTTTGTTCTAACATTTCTTAAGAAGAATAAGGGGACATACCAAATAAATAAAAGTTTCTGCAGAAGATGCATCATTAGTTACATCTGAATAACCACAGGAGATGATTTCATGAGGAATAGCCCTTTTAGGACATTCTTCCTCTGCAACCTTTAATAATGACATTAGCACTGAATTAGCCATCTAGGCACCAAACCCAGTATTTACAAAATACTGTGCTGTGTCCCACTAATGTCTAATATACGATGATGCTTAGTGGAATAAAATGTTAATTGTATTTTAAGAGAAACTAATGCTATCAGGTGAATGACCACTGCACCAAGATAAAACAAATAATCCAGTTTCTGCATCTCATGGTCTATCTAATGCTCTCTCCAGCCCAATTACTTCTGCCTTGGTATTTTTCACTCTGGCAGAAACAACAGCCAATGGCTCCCAATCTCACCCTTAGCCCCACAGCCAGTGAAGTTTTCCACTTCTGATAAAAAAAAAAATTAGTCCTTTCACCCTCGGTGCAAAAACCAAGCCACCAGCCCAGGACCTTCAATCCAGCTTTAACTTCTGCCAGGACAGATTCTCACTTGGAACAACCCAGAGTAGCCCAGAAAGAGATGCCGATTCACACGGGCAAAGGGGCTGGCACCTCTCCTTCCTTTGGCTCTCCAGGTATCTGGGCTTCAGGTCCTGTTCCAAAGACAACTAAGGCATCAAAGCGGAAGATCCTGCTGCTACCATCTCTGTCCTGGCTGCCATTACAGCCGTCTATGACATAGATGTCTACAGATATAGACGTCACCTTTTATAGACATCTATGCTATGTATTTTCATGTGTTTTTCATATGTTTGCAATTTCTCTTACCGTGATTACATCCCTGTATGTGCAAACGGTTGGGATCTAACACTTCAGACCTCGTAATACACCTTGCGGTTCCTCCCTCCATGTGATGCCACGTTTCTTTTGCAGTCTGAATTTGTGCCAGAAGATTTAAAAGTCAAATTCATGTTTGTGATTAAATCAAGACCTTCATCTGTCATCATATAACCAAATAGTTATGCTATCATTAATGCACTTATAAAGCCAGGTTTAATTGAAGAAAATGAAACCTGTATCAGAAGAGTAACCACAAGACAAGTAATTCTGATTCCACTTCAAAAGCCTAGTATACTGCAATTTTTCACTCAGTTTCTAATTAATGAAATTATTGAATTTTTTTTCTCAAGCCCTTGGTGACTTCAGAGCTTGGCGCAAGACCTGCATTATTCACCAGGTCACACTAAAAGCATGTGAAATAGCAGGCGGCTTCAAGCAGTAGATTCATTTTAAACAAGATACATACATTAGTTAAAACAGAAACACTGTTTTGAGGAGGAAAAAAAAAGACTTCACTGTATTATCTCTTTGCATTTCTGTACAGAAATGATATACTTTCA